GGCACAACAGTCATGTCAGATCAATGGAGAGCATATAATGCAATTGGCACCACTCCGGGATTGACTCATCAAACGGTCATTCATTCTGTTAAGTTTTTGGATCCAAACTCAGGTGCCAATAGCCAATACCCAAAGCATTGAACGTTTGTGGAAATCTGCAAAAGAGAGAAACAAGCGCCACAATGGCACACACAGACATATGCTCGATTTGTATATGTGTATTCATGTGGACATGTGGCATCAACGTGTTAAAGTAAATGGTTTTTATGTCTTCAACGCAATTCTAGACGATATTGTTCAATTTTGGCCACTACAGTAGCGGAGGACCTTAAAAGAAGTAAGTATGTTTTTATTCAAAATAACATTTGTTTTATTGGAAGTGTGAAATAATGTAGACTATCATAATTTTTTAATTTACCGTTTTTAGGCTAATTCAGATTGATTAGGTTTAGGAATACATTTTAGGGTTCATGTTAGATTTAGGGATACATTTAGGACATAAGTTCGTGGGTCACGATAACCAAGATGGCGGCCGCGGGTTGATCTCTCCGAATTGTTTTTGGCCATTTTTTTTTATTCAAAAGAACATTTGTTTAATGGGAAAAGTGAATAATAATAATTTTTGAGGTGAATTAAAATTGAAGTACCCACTTCTGATACCGGGTCCGAAAAGCCGCAGCCAAACTTTTCATTACAATGGGAGTCGCTTTGTCGATTGATTTATCACGTGATGTGAGTAAAAACAAGTAAGACTTCCGGTAGGCTGTATACAACACACTAGTGCTTGACAACAGTAGCCCGATACACACTACATTTCGTCCAATGAAAATTAACAAAATAAACAAAGGGGAATGACTCCTGCATCGCTATTGAAAAAAACCCAAATGACGTCATGAGCACGCACGGAGCTCAACAACATCCTGCCGATAATAGTATTGATAGTTCCCATCGAATATCGCTCACAAATTTTTCTTGAAATAACTTTCTTCCTTTAATCATAACTGACATATATTTATTGTCACATTTATGTATTTCATTTAAAAAACGCATGTATTCCAGAATATTTCGAAAGGTAAAATTTTTAAGTAACATGACATGACATTGGGGAAGCACTGATGAAGTATCTTTTGTTGTGTGTAGCAGCCTAGTGATGGCTAACTCACATCACGTGACCAAACAAGGAAGTGACTAAGCGACTCCCATTACACTGTTTTTTACAGATAAGCAACTTTGATCTTGAATCTTGATTGATGTCATGTTAATGATTATAGAACTATATTTAAAATAGAATTCAAAAATACAATACAATTATAAACATAAACGTATTCTTACTTGCTTTTAGATGTACGCACATTGTTCTTCGTGTTTCTTCAACGCTATATAAATTCTTCTAAATATGGCACATTTCTCGATTGATAATAATGGCTCTAAGATGGCAAACCAACAGGAAGTATCCGTCATAACTATCACGTGACCAACCGAATATCTAAAGCCCTCTCGTGACCAGCCGGATCCGAATAGCCGATTGCTGCTATAAGTACATGGGTACCTATAGCCACTCCGTTTTTAAATAGCGAACTTAGCGGGTTTTGATTTTAAAAACTAGTAAAATATTGTGAAATAGCACTTCATAGATGAGCCGAGGGGACTAACTCATTTTTTTCAAAAAATCGACACAGCAGGGTTTGCAATTGGACTCCTCACTCCATGTCTTAAAACAATCAGACATAGATTTCACATATAAATGAGTATAATTACATTTATCGCTGGTGACAATTTTCCGGTAAGGTACGGGAACATTAAAATAAAAAGAGTACAATAGCACAGAGAAAAATTATTAAGAAAGACTATTACAGAGTCATAAAAAACATGAAACACATTAAAGCCGGCCTGCAAAACTTTGCGGCCAGCGAAGACTTTGGTGAAAAAACAAAATATTGTAAATTAATATTAATATTTCCTAGCTTATTGATTTATAATATTATGATGATAGGTATACAGACCTGTTTACCCTCAAACTCTTCAAATCGTACAATATCATCACAAAATCGTTTAAAACATTATCTTAATTGTAAAATAATAAGCCTACAGTATAAACATGTATACACCTTAAAATCGTACATTGTACGCCAAAATCGTAAGAGTAAACAGGTTTGTACGGAATATATCTTCAGAAAATAATATAAATATTTTATTTTGAAAACTTTTAGTGTATTTTGGAACCACTTATCTATGTGAACAGACATTTCCAATAATGAACATTAATAAATGCAAGCAACGCTCATGATTGAGTGATGATCATTTGGAGGACATCTTGAGAACAGCCACTTCCAATACATCTCCTGAATACGACAAACTTTTTACCGAAAAACGAGTTGTGCAGGCCTGCATTTAAGTGTTACAAAATAGTTAAAATGAAGGCATTTACAGCCAGCAACCTTCACAATACCATTTCTTTGGCTTTGTGGTTGTCCTCAGGCCAAAACAATGGTAATGAAACCATTCAAGGCAACCCTCGCACTCTATCATCTTATACTGGCTATCATCCATAATGAAACAGAAATTGCAATAACATAAATCTTTCCCCTTCTTTTCGGCAATTCTAGCCTCAAGTATTTCCCATGCGTCCTCTGTGAATAAAGGCTGAAGAGAAGACAAAGAAATTGTTTCATTGGCAAATAGAGAAAAAATGTTTTCAGATGTCTTCAATTGTAAAATAGAGAAAGGTGGGAGGACATTAGAATCAAACAGACAACCAGAGAGAAGCATCTGCTTCTTCACCTCATATGATCTAGCATCAAAATGCAGTAGACATGCTTTTCTTTTTCTGTACCGACTGGTGAATGACAGTACCTGTCTAGGTCTGCCTTTTGGCTTTACCAGGGACAGTTCAACAATGGAAAATCCAGCAGAGGAAGAAGAAGGAACCAAGAAATCAGAAGACACAGAGGGGGGTGGTGAAGATAAAGGTGGCAGGACAACAACGCCAAGGCTATCAGAAAACACAGAGGGGGGTGGTGAAGATAAAGGTGGCAGGACAACAACACCAATGCTATCAGAAGACACAGAAGGGGGTGGTGAAGATAAAGGTGGCAGGACAATAACACCAAGGCTATCAGAAGACGATGCAGTGATACCTGCATTAAGTTTTGAGTTCAGAATACAACGGCTGAGTTGGAAGAATTATGTCTCCTTCTGAAAGATCAATAACCGCTACAGGGCGGTCAGCTTTAATTAGAGTGAAAACTCTTTCAAGGTGAGATACCGCATATTGGAAAGCCTGTTCTCCCAATAGAGGAAAGAAAGATCCAATAGCCTTTGTGATTCCTTTCGTAATGTGATAACGAGATTCAGGAGTGCTAGCTTTTCTTGCGGGCAATACTTCATGTGTTATGTTGTGGTGGTCATAGGAGATAACAGAAGAACTTACAGCAGTGCTTTTGAAGCATTCAATACCACAGTGATAGCGAGGCAGACAAAGTTCAGACCTTAGAGCAAAGATGTGTCGACAAGGCAAACAGAATTTCATAAAGAAATCACAAGAACAGAAGTGGATAGTGCAGTCGCACTGAGATGATCCAGAAGTTGTCGAGGACAGAAGGTATGTTTCAGGGCAGGTCAGAGAACACTGAGAGACATAGCGAGTATGTTGAGAGAGAATAAACTGTTCTGAAACAAGTTTGGCTGGAAAAGGAGTGAGGTCGTTCTGCATTGTATCGATAGTGTCAGAGTTATGCTTTGCTTTGTATTTCAATGACATTGAGTGTATGGTAGCAGATGCATCTATGGATTGCATTGTGTATTTTGTCACACTGAGGAGTTCGGTGATGCAGATGTTAAGTGGAGTTTTAGCAGACAGGACTCTCTTAATTTTCTGATGGAAGGTTTCGGCATGATTTGTGGTTGTTATATGAAATGTTGGAGAATCCAGGAGCAGTCCAAAGTTGGGGACAGTTCCACCAGTTAGAAATAAAGTAAGAGAAAACGTCAAGAGATGAGAGTTCAGAGATCTTGTCCTTGAGGGCATTGTGTATTGTGACATGTTTGTGCAGGATCTCGGTTCAATGAACAGATCAAGGAGACAAGAGATTTGAGAAGAGGACAGCTTTTTTTTTTTTTGCAGAGCCTTTTTTACAGCAGCGGTTGTGTGGAAAGCACAAAGTTGAATGCTAACAGATGGAAGCGATGATTTCATTGCACAGATTTATGCCATGTCCTTGTCAAAAAATATGGTTTTGGTGAAATGAGATACGAAGGAACTTGCAAAAAACAAAAGACAAGAAGAAAGTATAGTGGAGTCTTCTGACCAAAGAAAAGCATGAAACACTGGTCTGCCTTGGCCATTACTGTCCACAGGCAGGATGTTGAGGAGGGGGTAGTTTTGTTTATTTACTTTGTATGTGACATCCATAATGAGAATTTCTTGAAACTTATTTAGGGAATAAAACATACCTGCTGTCATGAATGACAGAAATTTAAACTCTCCACTCTCACTTGTTCCATACTTGATGACACCAACCCCCCCTCCCCAAGTCTGCAACTTTTCTAAAACTTTATTCACATTTTTGGCCTCTTCCCCTCTTTCATAGTGACATAATTTGTACCTCAAATTTCTTGTGTCTTTGGCCATCAACATTTCAGCCTCCTTTTTAGCAACCATCTCTTGTACCTCTTTGGTCGATGCAGATTTAATGTTTAGCACATCCACCAGGTGCTCTGTCATTTTTGGCATCCTATTCTCTGGGTAAAATTTTGAAATCTGGAGAGAAAAAAATATAATCCTTTACTGTTTCCCTTAAAAATTGTTTTGGGTAAATATTTTGTAACTTCATTATCTGGGGAAAAGCCACATATAAATCACAACCACAACAAAAAAGTGACATACTTTCTCTAACTTTTAAATTGCTAATCATATATAAAAATAAAAATTACAATAATTACTTTTCTAATCATCTGACAATGTTGAAGACCTAATGCCTGTGTTTCTATGCTAGATAAAAAATACTGGTGGCTAACACATGAGTATTAGTATTAGTTATTATAAGGAAAATAAAATACTTTAACTTTATAAACTAAATATATTCCGCAACTATCATATTAAAACCGAATAAAACCAAAAACAACTGAATAATGGTAACTGAACAATTGTATAGTATATGCACATTTGTGTTTACGGGGAAACTGTGCAGTATGCAGTAGTAAAATGTACATAAAAAATGGGACTTATGACAACATTAACATAAATGGATTTTTTTTTTTTTAAATGTTTTTAATACCTCTAGTCCAGAGGGATGGTTTTCAATATTTTCATGGACCAAGTTACAGGTGGTCAATTTTAACTTGTTAACTTGTTGTATACAGTCCCATCTTCCACCAGATTTACCCTGATAAATGCAGGGAATGCAGTCTTGAATGTTTTGAAACACACAAAAAGGGGAAGTAACATATTTAATTCACCGAAGAGTATGGTTTGTTATAAAATTATAAATTCAGTTATAATAGTATTACTTGAAAATTGACTAATTGACAATAGTGTAGAATCATTGTAGTGGGACATTAGGCTACTGAGTAGCCTATTTTGCGGCCAATTTAAAAAAGCAAGTTTGTCTTGATGTCAGGTTAATAATTAGAGAACTATATAATCACTATATTTAAAATATAATTAAAAATACCATAAAATTAAACTAATTCTTATACTGAACAAAATTAAACGGGAAAACCCTTCCAGGAGAGCTTCCCCCACCTTCCTCGGTCCCGAAATTTGGGGAAAACCCATTTTGATGAAATTTTCACGTACGGGGAATTGTGTTCACGCTTACTAAACTTTACTAAGTGACTGGGTAAGTGGACATACACGCGTCTTGTATTGTTTTATTAATTAAATAATGCCGATGCATTTTCTTGTTATCTCTTTTAGTTTTAGTACAGCCGACTGTTGTCTTTGAGGTGCTGGTGATTATTTCCAAACTCAAACATTCTAGAACTGGGTGATTTTGATATGGTTGGTAACAAATACAAACAAACCGATTAATCCCCCAATTCCCCAATGAATGTAATGTGTTGAAATGATGAAATTTTAAAAAACTTTCTAATTAAAGTTAAAGGTGTTTTTGTAAATCTAGGGAACATAGTCGCCAGTTTAGGTCGATTCGGACTATTTATTTCGTCTTGTAAGTACAAGGCATACACAAATTATTATTTAAAAAAATACAAGTCAACAAGTTAAACTTTAATTTAACTGAACCAATTAAACTCTAATTAATTGTTGCTGTAGAGTATTATTAGTAGATTAAGAATCATAAGATGGGTGGAAGAGGGGTGGTAACCGGGGTGGAGGTGGAAAATCAGATTTTGATGATGAATTCGTCTTAAATAAGTCCCATGCCATGGCCATGGCTATAAATTGATTAGGAAAGTGCTTAGGCTTAATATTAAACAATGACATATCATATCATCATGATATTCATATGAATCATGAAAGATAATTAATAAAGAAGTAGAAGTGGGTTTCCGTTAAATATACCTGGGAGAGCCGGCGGTAACGTAAAATTAAAATGCAATAAAATGCAATCAAAGTATTGCTATAGTCTCTAATTATGCTAATACCGGGACCGGAGAGGAATAGGAGGATGGGTCTACCATGAATATGATAATGATAAATTTAAATAATTATGAATATTTAATATTGAAATACAATTTCACTGACTGATTTTCGCTATGGCTACACTGTAGTAGTAGAGTAATTCAGTATTTCAAGGTAAATATAAATATCATATTTGAAAAGAAATAGGCCTATTTTTTCTAACGTTGCATAAATTTTTATGATCTGCATTTTATTTATTTTAAATGTGCCTTACTTTTAGATGGACATTATCTGTTTGTATTGAAAATTGTATAGCAGAAGCTTCATTGTTTTAGTAATTATTATATAAATACACTAGACTACAGATTGATACATGGCTGTGTCCCTCACCATATAAGACACCCAAAACCCACTGCTTGAAAATATATCAATTTTTTCGAGGTTTAGATTTCAATCAAATTAAAACCATTAATTTTAATATTTTAATGACATTATTAATAAAGCATAATGAAAATTTGAATATCACAAGCAAAATGAAGTAGACCTTATCACTACTTTACCATCACATTTACTTACATTTAAATTTACTTGCATATTTATTTAATGGAAGATAATTAGAAATACAATTACTATATTGGGCACAAATTATATTGATTATCAAATTAATTGATAAGCATAGAAACAAATCTTTAACTTTCGTATCATCACTGTCATTATCTACAACTACAATGATTTTTGTTTAAAAATATATTTAACAAAAGAATAGAGATACTTATTGATATCAACATGGAAAAGAATAATAGTTCAGGACTGGAACCAACATTTAAAGATAAAAACTTTGCAAACAACTTACAGGAGCAGTCAGATGAGGTGAGCTCATATTATATAATTAAATTTGGTATCTATAAAAATAATAATTTAAAAAATTAATTACGGGTCCTGGGACCCACTGTATTAATAATTTTGTATACATTTCAAAAGTAAACTAACAAATTAAAATAATACAAAATTAATATGCTATAATGCCTTAGACAGGCTGAGACACGATTTTTCTAGCTCAGCAATTGCCATATGTTGTGTTGGTGTGTTATTAGTCTTGTTTTTATATATCATAGATCTGTTATTACATATATTTATGCTTTTGGCTTAAGGCCTTTAATTTTTTTATGCCTTTTGTGTATTAACAATTACAGAGATATTGCCTTAGATAAGATTTGTCTTCAAGTATTAAGTAAGTAGACAATAATAAAAAAAAAATATGTTTAAAAACCCTGAGGTGTATTTGAACTTGTATTGGATGAATCAGTTAACATAAGCATTAAAAAAAAAAAAAATTGAAAAAAAAAACCCAAAAAATTTAAAAGAAAGGCAAAAAAAATTTAAAATTTAAATGAAGTCCTAAACCAAAAAAAAGATTTGTCTTCAAGTATTAAGTAAGTAGACAAAAATAAAAAAAAAATATGTTTAAAAACCCTGAGGTGTATTTGAACTTGTATTGGATGAATCAGTTAACATAAGCATTAAAAAAAAAAAAATTGAAAAAAAAAACCCAACAAATTTAACAGAGAGGCAAAAAGAATTTAAAATTTAAATGGAGTCCTAAACCAAAAACTCAGTTTGTTTGATATCAATAGTCCTGATGAGGAGTGATTCAAAATGCCCATGTTTCAGTTAGCACAATTTTATATTTCAGATCACAGCTTTGCAGTCTATTTTCAATGCAGAGGATAAAGAGAAATTTAAAGTATTAGCTACAGTGGACAGTGATAATAATGGCCTGTTTGTGATGCTTGTGAGTTTGTTTTAAAATCAGAATTTGATACATTGATTAGTTATGAAATTTTAATTCATTTAAACTTTGATTTGATCTGTCTATTTGGAATGACATTTCTTTGGAAAAATAGGAACAACAAAATAAATGAGAAAATAATAGGATGTTATGCAGCATCTATTTTTCAAATTAATTTATGATATGACCTATCTCATGCAACCTGCTTGTTTGGTTTTTAAAAAAAAATATGCTTCAGATCATACCCATCCAAAATTAAGCACCAAAATTTGTGTCCCATACATTGAGTATCTTCTATTGCTCAGGTAGATGTTTGCCCACTGCCTGTGTGTGATGCTGTACACATAGAAGTTGCCTTGCCTGTAGAGCAAGAGAATGAGATGGCTGCTGCTGCATCTAAAGCTGAACCCCCTAACTTGTCATATGACATCCAGTTTAGTAGATCATCTTCAGGTCAGGTTTTTGTTGTTTTGTTATTGTTGTTTAATAAATATCTTTTTTTTTTCTTCTTTTTTTGTTGTTGCTGTCATTTTAAAAAAATCAAAATTCATTACCATAATGGTTTTATTAACTTCCACACCAGATCTGCTATGAAGATTCCACCTTTTAAATTATTCTCTACAAGAAATTAAGGAAACACATTTAAAAATAATAATTTGTGTCATTTTGTTTATCAGGAAATTGTATGTATTATATATATATATTTATATACATCTTCTTTTTTTTTTTAAAATAAACTCTCTCTCACTCTCCGGTTTACAGGTCAAAATTGGAAGGGATCATTCAATGTGAAATATTTATCACCCTTAAATCTCTTCATGACATTCCCACCCTCCTATCCATCATCAGACCCACCCAAATTTCAACTCAGCTGTCCCTGGTTGAGTCAGGCACAGTTAGAGAGCTTGCATCAAGCTTTAGACAAGCTCTGGGATGAAGGCAACCAAATGCCTATAGTGTACACCTGGATAAACTGGCTGGAGAATAGCTTACTCAGGTACATTTTATACTGATGCACTACGGTCTTGCCTCATAGCATTAATAAAATTCCTACGTCATCTCCATAACATGCAGAGGTTTTCAATAATGAGAAAAATGACTATTTGTGATGAGATTTTTTAAGTACAGTTGAAAACTTCCATATCACATAATATTGAAAATGTTCTATAGTTCATGTTGTTTTTTGCAATGAAAATCATTAGTAAAATATAGGCCAACATTAATATAAAAGATGCTCAACAACGACATGTATAATGCCCATTTCTTAATTCTTATGGAATTTTTAAAAACTATTTTGACATTTCTTAAATTAAAAAAAAAAAAAAAATTCTCTTTGGTCAGTCATTTAGGAATCAGTGATCATTTGATCTTGAGGCTGTCGCTTTCAGATGATGATGTAAACACAAAAGTTGATGAGGTTTTTCCTTGGCAGGAACATATTGGTCAAATCATTGCCTCCATGAAAAGGTCTGTGTCTGCAGTTACAAAGTAAAACAAAAAAATGGTGTTTTATAATTTTTTTAAAGCTAGTTTTATATTATACAAAGAGGGCTTAGATCATTTTTCAAAAAACTTTTAGAATGTCTTGAACATTTTTATTTCTGTGTTTCAGTACCATGATCTGGTGTTCATGACAGTCAAATAAATATGAACAAATTAGATTGTTTTTAGTGTTTTTTATTTTTCACCAATTGAGCATATTTACAATTAGTTACAAAGTTTTGGACAACGATAAAATTTTGACAAAGATAGAATTTTGACTATAATAAATTTCAACTCCCAGATATAACCAAGAGCAACTGGACATTGAATTTTGTCAAAACATACATGAGTGCCAACTGTGTTATGATAAAAAGCCTGGTGTGCAGTTTTTTCGTATCCATGAATGTCCCCATATCTTCTGTCATGACTGCATGAAAGAGTTTTGTGAGTTACATGTCAGAGATGGAACGGTGGAGGCACTTAGGTAGGTCAAATAAGATTTTAACCAGGGATGCATCAGAACATTATCCTTTTTTTGACTCTGAATAAAAGATTAAAATTTGTCACACTCCAATTATAGCTGGGATTCTTAACCAAGGTTGCATGCAACCCCTGAGAGTGTTAGAGACAGTGTTAGGGGGTGGGAGAAGACCCAGACAATCAGGTTTATTTGCATTTTTATTGTAATTTGTTATCGTAGGACAGCGTGAAATGATTTGAAATCAAGAGGTGATGGGGCACTGCAAATAAAGTTAAGCACCACTGAAATAAAACAGACTCCTAGGAACTAGAATAGTCATGTATGAAGATATTTTAGTTTTGTGTTTTCTTTGACCCAGGAGTTCATTTTCATGATAAAATGAAAAAAGACATATATAATTTATATATATATTCTTTTTTAGCAATGCAGCCAAAAATAGCAGTTGGTCTTTTTTCAAAGATTTTTCTTTCATAACTTTTTTATTTGTATATTTATTAAAGAAAGGTAAAAACTTAATTTGTAAAAAAAAAAATTTTTGAAAAACAGTTGCATAGATAGAGTTAGTACAGCCCGGAGCGGGCCATGATTTTTTGCCACCCCCTTTATGAGAAAAATGAGCAGTTGACCAACATTGGAAAACTGTGACAACCAGGCCGAAACGTCCCATCTGCACCCACCCCCCTCAACCCTTCTTATGCCACTGTATTTATGTAAGACCTTTTGGCATAATATAGTAGAAAAGAGCAATAGTCAAGTATATCTGATATAAGCATTTTTTAAAAGACCAGTTGAAATTGGAACCCCAGGCATTACATTTAGCTGTCCAATGTTTGAAAACTGTATAACTGTCCTCTGTTTGGATTGAGTTTGACTTTCCTCTGTTTGCATACTGCATAACTGTCCTCTGTTTGGATTGAGTTTGACTGTCCACTGTTTGCATACTGTATAACTGTCCTCTGTTTGCATACTGAATAACTGTCCTCTGTTTGGATTGAGTTTGACTGTCCTCTTTTTGTCTCTTTTACCTCACCATCCAGCCATCCTAATAATAAATTTTAATTTCATTTGTTTTACTTTCAGGTGTCCTGATAGGGGATGTAACTCTTTGATTCCACCTTACATTGTCCAGGCTGTCTTGAGCTCTCAAGCATACAAAAGATGGGAGAAACTTTTGCTGCAGGTAATAATAAATTATTTTACCTATAACAATAAGGATCTTAAATGAAATTTAGTTTATGCTCAGACTAGAATAAACAATTGTCAAAATTAATTAAACCTCATGAACAAAGTATGCTGTGCATGACAATAGGCCGGACATGCAGAGACAATTTTCATGTATTATTTTAAGTAGTATTTTAGCTTTAGAGTTTACGCATCATGTAATTCACTTTAAAACATGGTAAATTGCTTAACTCCCCAATTTTTTAGTTTTTTTTACTCGTGCAGAATGACAGGAGTTTAACAGGTACTTACTGGCATGCCATTCTTAAAAGTTTGGAGTTAAATTTGACAATATTGATGTGTTTCTATCATTTTTTTTTTTTCTGTTTGGGTACTTACACAGACCTAAGTTTTTAAAAATAATTATCTTTAACTTCTATCAAAATTATTTCTCATTTAACACATTTAACAATCATTAGTTACATCATCAAGTGTCATTGTTGACAGAGGGGCAATCCATTTATGATGTCACACTATTTTGGCAGATTTTTTTTAACCGTCACCCTCCCTTTTCCTATCTTCAAAAATTTTTTCATAAAATATTGAAATCCTCATGGAAAGACAAAACACTACCCCTTTCCACCAGATGCACGACATCATTTATAGATGACCCACTTTTTGTTTGGTTTTCTAAGTCCAATTTTTGATGTTACTTTGGAGTTACTTTGGTTCACTTTAAATTACATGAAAAAAAAAAATTTCAATTGTCTGTGATCTCATTGGCTAAAATAATATTGCATTTTTGCATCAGCAATGCCCACTATAACATGCTCTCTTTCTTGTTGAATTCATTTTATTCATCGTTTCATACTTCTGATTAGTATTTGTGTAAGGTCCTTTTCTCAGTGCCATCATAACTTTAACGTTGTAAAGTAATTAAAAAATATATCCTTTTTTGCTTCACATTTTGAATATAAAATGTAAAAAAATAAAACATTGTTAATGAAAAATTTCCATGCAAATTGAGCTTACTGAATAACCATAATTATTGAACTGTTGACAGCCGTTATCACTTGTAAATTATTTTAAATTTGAGAATTGTTAATTCTTATCATCACAGCCATTACTTTTGCCTTTCAGAAAACCCTTGATGCCATGTCCGACACTGTGTACTGCCCACGATGCACCAGTTTGGTTATTGCTGAGGCTGAGGAGGAGCTACATCTTGCTCACTGTACCGTGTGCTACTATGCTTTCTGCACTGAATGTGAGCGCAGCTGGCACCAGGTTAGTCAAAGTCAAAACTGCATCACATATAATCATTTGTGTTTTCCTTGAACCACGAGTCCACTTTCATAATGAAATGAAAAAAAGACATGCATAAAGTCAATGCTGCATCATAAAATGGTTTGATTTAATGCTCAAGCTATTTTTAAGTTAATGAAAAGATAAGTAAAAGATATGATTTTCTGCTTAAAGGACTTTTTACTTTGTCTCAGAACTATTGTGTATCACCTGTCAACAGTGATGCCCATACTTGAGTTGAGGAGATTTAGGGTTAAGTCCATGGGGGATTCTATGGCATGTTTTCTTGACCTTAAAGATGATACATATAAATAGCTAAAACTGCAGATGGGCCCAAAAAAGAACAATAAGCTATGCATCTATGTATTGGTTGTTTTTTTGTTGGTTAATCATTAAATAAATATTTCATGCAGTTCTTGTCAATGGAAAACTGTCACTTCACAACTACGTCAATTTCAAAAATACATTAACAACAATATGACAATACGATAGGATATTTGAGAATATAAGAAGTTTTTAACAGCAGTTGTAAGCCTGTGGCAATAGTCACCCTGTGTTGTCAGAAATTGGGACTCAAAATAAACTGGAGTTGTTGTTTTTTCAATGCATCATACTAAGAAAACTTATGTTCTTATTTTAAGTTATATAATGAAATGAAATCCAAATGAAAGAGCAACAAAAAGAAAGAAGCCCAAACACTCCCACTCCCAGAACCCCACACTCCCACTCCCAGAAGCCCACACTTCCACTCCAGAAGCCCACACTCCCACTCCCAGAAGCCCACACTCCCACTCCCAGAAGCCCACACTCCCACTCCACCCTAACTTCTAGAATAAAACATTTTAAACACCTCCTAAGTTTCCAAAAAAATGTGTTTCTCTGCCCAGGGCAGGCAGTGTCAAACAGATGATGAGGTTTTGGAAAATCTCCAGCAACAGCAGCAAGGAAGGAATGCCCTCTCAGAGGCCGAACAGAATAGGTTCCTAGAGCTCAGGAGGAAATTAGAGGAGGAAAAAGAAGCAAAGAACTTGATTAAAGCCAGGATGAAAACATGCCCCATTTGTAAAATTAAAATAGAGAAAATTGGAGGGTAAGCTCAGCTGTCTTTAAACCACATGGGCTTCTCATGTAGTTATCTAAAGCAAAACATAATGTTGCAGTTAAAAAAAAAGACTTGCCTTTAGCCCGCTTCTTCTTACTCTATATATTAAGAGGCCATGATCAATATTTTGATCATTCTGGCTCCTATGTATGTAGAGGAATTTGTAATTTTTCATTACCATCTAGGCCAGGGGGACAGCAAACTTTGCTTTAAAGGGGCAAAGAGTAAATATGACAAGATGGCTGTAACACATCTACTCTGACATGGCGTGGGAGCTTATTTCTTATGCTGTGGGTTATGTCAGTAGTATGGTTACTTATGTTATGTTGATATTTCAGGATGCCGACTAAGGCTTCTTCATTCTTCCACTTATAATCCGGGCACGCAAATAAGAATACTGAATCCTGGTTAAACTTACAGTACTTTATTGAACACACTTTATATTGATAATATTAATAAATAATCCTTGCATGAATGTAATTTCACATATATATCTATAGTATTCCATCATTAAGAAAGACACGTCCTCACACTACTGTCAACTCAGCTCAACTGTCTAATCACACCGCTCTCACGCTACTATTCTATACTGCTCTGCGCTCAGCTCTCACTATCTCAGTCAACTCATACTTTATTACCAGCAAAGCGTGGAAAACAACCGCTCTGACAAAAACATAATTTTACTCTCCAAAAACGTGGAGTTCACATTTGCATCTCAAAATACATGGTCAACACAATTCACTGTTCACTCATGCTACCTCTCTGTTTTCATGTGAAAACATTGTCCGTTACAATGGCTTAATTTGGTGGGCAGACTAAAAAAAAACCCAGTTTATCTGTGGTTCTTTAATAAAATTACCATTAAAAGTTTTTTTAAAAAAGATACAGGCATCTTAAAATTGGACCCTTAAAAATCACAGTTATCACGTTGGACTATCAGAGTCAACATGCCAAATTTAAGCGGGGCTAAGGGTGGGTCTCAACAAGGAAACGCCTGCAGTAGCTTATTCTAAATTCTATGCCTTGAATGAGAGGAAGTGCCATTCTTAAAAAGTATTTGCATGTTTATTCTACTTCCAGCTGCAACAAAATCACTTGCAAGTGTGGCAATTTCTTCTGCTGGATCTGTGGCAAGCAAATTCATGGCTACTCACATTTTCAAAGTGGCTCCTGTAATCTTTTCCCCAACATTGAGACTGCAGCAGCTGATGTGCCAGCCAGGCTACCTCCTGATGTGAGTGTAACTTAGGCACCCTTCAGAATTTTCTTACATCCTTGCCCCCCTACTTCATCAGATTCAGCATTAAATCCATTTTAGCTATGGATACCAAATTCTACTTGGGATAAACTATTTATAAACTATTGAAGATCTTGTAGTTTGTTTCAGATTGGGGATATTTACCTAAGGCCTTTGCATTATATAATTACCTACTGAAAGATAATATATAAATGATATTCATGATCATGATCACCCAAACTGTTGAATAAAATTATTATTTTTTATACCCCCTTTGCGCTTAAGATATTTTCGTATAATCTAAATAACTTTGATAGCTTTGTATCTTAGTAGGATAACTTATTTATCAGCACTAGAGTATTTAGATTTTTTTGTTTGTTTGTTTTTTTTTTAAATTTTTTTTAGAAATGTCAGTGAAAGTGAAATCAGTAATATTTTTTTAATAAACAAAATATTTTATATTAAATTTCTCCCTTATTTAAATTGAAATCAAATTTTTTTTTTTTTTGTATGTTAACCCCAATAATTAAGACATGCTAAGGTTCTCAAACAGTCAAAAATTTATTCCTTTAACATATTGATCAAGACTCTTTCCCATTTTTTCATTATGTTATTATCTGACGAGCTCCAGACCCAACTTCAACTCCCCATTTCTTGCCAATGTGTTTTTAATATATCAAAAGAAAATCTTTTTCAAGATTTATAGTTTCACATATTTTAGTTCTTGGTTGTTTGGGATTGCAAATGCAAAAAAAATAATCTGTCATTATGAAAATAGTTAGAGAAAGAAAATTGTCTAAAAACATGGTTTATCCCTGTGTATATTTACAGAACTTTAGAATGAGTTTGGTGGGAAGAGGAGGTAGCAAACAAACATTGTGGGTGACCTTTCTTTTGAGTTATGTTTCCTTTTTGAGGGCACAGAATTTAACAGAGACTCTATGTACAACCAGAAAAAGAAACAGATGCCCCTGAACATGGTCAGCGGGTAGCCAGCCCTGGTCCCTTTCTATTTACGTAACCTTAACTTTTCAATGTGTTCACCTAGTGTTTATCTTGGCAGGAGGAAGTTAGGTCTAGGAAGTTAAATGCTTGGTTAAATACATGTTGTCTTGACTGGTCAGTGTTGTGCACACCGATGGGCCTTAGAATAACTTAATATGCATATTTAAATTGATGTTTATGTGAGAATAGAGAAAGTTGGAGAGACAAGTTGGAAGAGATTCGAGATTGCAGACTGTTTAGACTAGACTCCCTAGAGAGAGATGAGATGAGATAGGAGAGGTGTGCGAGTAGTTGACAGAATCTTCCTCATGATGTTGTTTTTATGTAAAAGAAAGTTTAATTGGACATGTGCTGTCATCAAGCAAAGATATGAAATTGGGAAGTAATATTTCCCTCACAATATTTATATTATTTCTTTTCATCAGGCTCTGCTTCGCATACAGGCGCAGCTGGAAGTGAACCCAGACCTGGCAAACAGACGCTGCTACTGCCCCATGTGCAAACAGGTCAGCCTCAAAGGCAGAGACAACAACAACCACATCAAGTGCTGGAACTGTAAGACCAACTTCTGCTTCCTCTGTAGGCAGAGGATCACAGGCAGTGTCCCCATCCATTACTCTGGACCTTGTGTTCAGCACTCCTAGCATCGTTAGGATCACTTAGAGCAATCTGAATATTATATATTGGTATTTGACTCTTAGATATTGAATTATTTCCATAAATCAAGACCTGTATGACAGGATCTCTTACAACAAATTACCTCCCCATAATTTTTGTTTGAGCACAAAAAAGCTTCAAAAGGGCAAGGTAAAATAATACCTGCACCAAGTAAATTTGCCCACATTTGAATTTTAATGAAAAATATTTATATCTTGGCTGAATGCTAAGTCTATAAAATCAGAACTTGAAATTGTATGCAATTTAAAACAGTGTGGATATGAAATTAAATATGTGATTAGGTTATTTTATATCATCTTCTTCTTTATGCCAGAATATTGAATTTTTAAAAAAAACACTGGGTCATTGTGATAAACCAGCCTCTTTTGGTTGATGTTTTTTTGTTTGGTTGAGCCATATTTTTTTATTAATCACCCAAGTTTAAAACAAAAGCTGTGGGAACAAAATTACTTGTGATGAAAGTGTGTTTAAATATTCAATGAGGTAATTGGAAGAGAGTGGTTTCTTGCCTCTCCTTTTCAATGGCTGTCAACAAACTGATGTTTAAAATATGTTTTATAAGTTTTTAATTCAAATTTCCATTCATTTCTTTTCCCATCAAAATCGAGGCCTTCCTGTTGGCTTTATTTTCGGTCACCATGATTTAGCTTTTTTCATGTAATGAAATTTAAGCTGTGACCGATGCAAAAAAACATATCTCGCTGACATCAACTATTTAAAACGTGTAGGTATTAGTTAGTATTAAGTATTATGCAATTTAAAAATTATTTATTTTGTGAAATGTCTTGAGATCAGTTTTACAGATTCTACAGTTTCCTTTTAGTGATGGTTTGGCAAATATTGTATGCAAGTGAGTGAGGTGAGAAACAAATGTTTATTGCTGTACAACTTGAGATGAAAATTAATGAATCTGGAAATATTTTTTAATATATATATATATATATATATATATATATATATATATAATATTTATAAATAGCCTGAATGACAACTGTACTTGTAAGCAATATAAAAATAAAACACCCGCTTGTCAGCCATATTATAGTAATTGCAAAATGTAGAACAAGAAATAGAGAGAAAAGTGAGTGAGGTGAGAAAAAAATGTTTATTTCTGTACAACTTGAGATGAAAATTAATAAATATAGAAATATTTTTTAATATATATATATATATATATATATATATATATATATATAATATTTATAAATAGCCTGAATGACAACTGTACTTGTAAGCAATGTAGAAATAAAACACCCGCTTGTCAGCCATATTATAGTAATTGCAAAATGTGAAACAAGGAATAGAGTGAATGAATCGAGGGAATGCATAAAAACCAAAACTGTACAAATAAAAAAAAACAGCCTAACACCAAGGCACACCAGAGAGTGTTTTAATATATATACAATAGGGACAAACGTTGTCCTGTACATGAAGAGAGAAGTCGTTATCAAAATGTGATCAGTACAATAAAATCAAAGCAGAGCAACCCCAAAACAAAATCTCACAAAACAAAATTTAATAAATTACACAACAAAGTTGGCGCTCAATCATGAATGTTCTGGAAGGAATCAGTGGCATGGTGTGGTAAAGTTTATCACCACATTCTGCTAGAATTGTAGATAAATTAATCAAACTTCAATCACATCATCTGCTTGCCTAAGCAAAACAAAGAGCACACAAAAAATGCCTGTGATATGTTGTGCAAGAAAAAATACCACTATTGGTCATCCATCTATAATGAGGGGGGGATTTGGTGTTAGCCCTGATTAGGAAATGATGTTTAGGGAGAGTTTACTGTAAAATGTGCAGACCTTTGGAAATTCATGACAATCGCACAGTCTGGATACATCATATGCTGCTATAATTGCATTAAAAAACCTCTTCGGCTTTCTTGATGGCTGATCTTCTTCATAGCATGTTTAGGGCCATCCATATAATACATGTGCATGGGAGGTTGGGGGAGGGGAGATCTGAAGAAATCTTGAGTAATGAATGTGAAAGCAAAAAATTATGGCAGCCATAGAACTTAAACCATTACAAGAAATTATACATTATTTTTAGACTGATAATTTTCTTTACATTAAAGACCTTATTTTCTTCAATGCTAAGCCATGTTATTACAAGTGTTGCATTGGTGTAGTCTAGTTTTTCTTTTTACTAGCTGGGTGCAAAGATAATTTTCTTTCCACCTAAAATAACAAATTGTCAAAAGTTTGTAGTTTGGCTTTTTTACGATTTATTAGGAGGTAAATGAATCTCAAAAATAAAAAATTTGGATTTTGCTTCCAGGCTGGCCATTTCATCCAGAATGACAGAAAGACATTTTATTATATGTTTATGAGGCATTAAGAAATGATGATCTCAAGTAACATTATTCATAACAAAAGAAATTCTAGTTTTTAAAGCTTTTTAAAATGTCAAAATAGCCTTTGAATGTAGTCTTAGAAGGCATTAGGAGGTGTCCACAAATGTCCAGGATGTAATGTGGAAGTTTTGACATAAGGATTATTTGCGATCAAAATGTGTATACAGGGCTTCTTCATACATAGAGGAGATGCTAAAATACTAAATATTATAGCAACACTTGAAATCCTCAGAACTGGTTTCCCTTTGAAGATTAAAAGAAAGTTGTTTTTTTTTAATCCAGAGCATTAAAAAATTGCTCTCAGTTTCAAAACCACCCGCTAAAACAATTCCAACATTTTTTTTTAAAAATAGCATTCTGCCAATATATTTTACATTAGTCAGAAGCTGACGATCAGGGATACTGATATAATAAAGTCAGATTTATTACAGATATAGACAGTGAAAGTCAAGATACAGTTAAAGCAACACATTAGCATAAATTAATACCAGAGGAAGTCAAAATGCACTCAAGAAATATAGTAAAATCCAGTAACTAAATGCAACCATAGAGATAAAGTGTATAGTTATAATCAACCTCAAGTACGGACATTTATGATGATAATTGCAGGTAAAATTAAAACGTTAAAAAAAAAACAAGAAAGTACATACCAAAACCTTAAAATAGAATCTGAAACATCACATAATTACACCGTGTTGGGGATCAAGATTTAACAAAATATCCCTGCCACAGCATAATACATATGCTTGTCAAGACACACTGCAACTCTATTTGCATATAATGATGTAAATGCCACTCTTTTTCAGAAGTCTGTGCACATCAACAGCAGTTCACATGGCGCTATGAATTCAAGCTGCATTGAGTAGGGGCTTTATGATAAATAAGCCATCATAAAAAAAAAAACAACAACACCATTAGCATCACATTTAATTGTCACTTTGATAATTTTTATATTTAAACTTCCATGTCCTTAGTACAAGCATTTCTCACAACAGATTAGACATATCCTGCCATTTCTTTTGTCCAGCCTTATGCCAGCTGCATCGATAGTGGTAGAAAAATAGAACTATTAATTCTTTAGCGAAGATTTTTTTTTTTTAATTCATGAAGATAATGCCTTTGTTGTATGCAGTTCTCAAAATGTACTTTGCTTAGTGACCTTGAGAAATTCACAGTGATTATAAAGTCAAATAATCACCAGGAATTCAGGAATTCATCTGAGCCATAATCTGTTGAGTTGATCTGGAACAGCTTGTACCAAGCAACCGTGTGTTTAGAAAGGTCAAGGCCATCAAGTCGGACCAGGACTTCACCACGACAAGACTTTTTCTCAAAACTCCCAGTTCGTTCCCAAATGTCTATCTGATGATAATAATAGAATTTCATATATATTTTTAATAAGTTAAAATATATCTTTAAAAATTGATTAAGCAATGGTTTTCTAGCATAAACTAAATAATGTAAATAATACATTGACATTAAAAACTCTCTGATATCAAAAATATGATTTAAAAATCAATGTTTATGTTCTTGTTTGATACTAACAATTAATGCTTTTATTTTTTTTAAGAAGATTTATCTGGCAGCGATAAAATTTCTAACAGCTCAATTATTATTCTAAGCCATTTCGGCCAAGGACAGTCTGAGAACTCTTGGACCCTTAAACCCAAGATACTTTCGCTGAAAGAGAACATTTTGAATAAATTTTCCGAATTCCATGCAGTCTTTTCAACTTTGGTGTAGGATTTATTGTTTTTGTACCTAAATTTAGTCACAACTGGCTAACAGGCATACCTTCATTATTCTGCCATGGACATTACAAGCCGAGTATTTAATTTTCTTCCGATAGACTGGGTCAAATGTCGCCTTCACAACCAAGGTTTTCTTCCTCTGTATGACTTTCTTTCCCTCCACTAAATAGGTTTTTACATATGTATCTGAAATTAAATTTAAAAAAAAACAATAATTTATTTGTTTAATGTCACATTATTCTACTTTCAGCACACACAAAATGTTTAAATATTCCAAAGAAAGGGCAGAAGAAGGTCAACAGCTCTTTTTTTTTTTTTTCTTAATCTTGCCAGTAGTTTAATTTAAAAACAACTTTAGTCTACCTGGTGGTTGAGTCTGACCAGATTTATGAAGTCCTGCTGCACAGACAATATCCACTTCAAGTTGACCTTTGGACACTGTAAAGCCTAGTTTGATATCTCCACACACAGTAGTTTCTGTTGTGAAATTTTGCAGGTAAATCAATGACTCAATTTATAAAAATGTATTGAGGTGCATCTATGATGTAGAAGTAGATAGTTTTTACAGTAAATTAAATAATTATTTATCCTATTATTTGTACAAAATCCAACACCAATTTAACATTCTGAGGAATTAACCAGTTAATATTACAATATTAAGAAGTGTTTTTATAAATCAAATGATGTAATTTGTTGTCTCTATTAAGAATCATCAAAATTAAAAAAATTGAAAAGTTAAGATAATTTAAAAAGTCTCTGAATCTGATTAATTGACTGAAATAACACTAACCAGCTGAAGGCTTTGGTGCTATCTGGCCAGGACCTAAAATAGTGGTGATGTCATCCCCTTCTCGAGGAGGGCGATCAGGTGTTGCAGATGAAACACTGGAAAATATGTTATTATACAGAGTTAGTTTTAGATTTGACTTGTAAATCTAATGTGTTCAAAAGCCCACAACATAAAAAGTAAGCAATTTCAGTACCAGTATGCAATATCACTGACAATAGCATTATCATTACTGAAAGGCCAATTGAAAAAACTGTCCAATAATTTCAGAGTTCCTCAATAATCGAAATGTAAGTAAAAAATGAATTATATGACCTAATGCTATATGAATGGACTTTTTTCTTCGTTTTATTTGATTTAATTGTTAGTTAATTAAACACACATCAAAATTAGTCATGTTATTATTTTTTTCAAGGAACCATGGGTTCGAACAAGAAAAGTAAAATAACACTGAGTTAAAAAGTACAGGTAATTTACCATAAGAAATACCAATAGCATAAAAAAAATCTCAGATGAAGAAGTATTTCGTATAGGAAGACTCACCTCCCATGAGTTTCTTCATCTTCAGAAAGAAAAAAACTTGAACTGCTGTTAGTTCTACTTGGTGGCTGAGGTGGGGCGAGGAGATCCATACTGTGATCTGTCATGCACAAAATATTAGGTGAATAAACTAGCATGATAAACTAGGTATTAAACTATTTACCTTTTTATTTAAATAAACCTGTTTAAAGAGGAATACTATTCTAAGCTTGAATGCCCTGGCAAAAGTTTTTTTTTCAATATTGTCTGTATAACCTTATGATATAAAAAGAAAAACTATTGCTTAGCTGTGGTGGAGGAAAGGGATGTGGGCTAGAGTAAAATGAATTATGATTTTTTTTCCCCACAAAACCATAAATGCATTTCTGATGTACACATCATCACTTAATGTGTAAATATGTATCCACTAATAATTTTTTTGTATTTATTCAAATTTGTATTGAATAAAATAATATTTTTATAAAGTAAAATATTTCTATCTCCTTTTTAAAATGAAGGATTTTTTTGTTGTTGTCCTTTAATGTTTTTCCACATTATATCAATTATAAAATAAAACATTTATTGCATTACTTGGCTTCCATTTGATTATATGATAATGAAACTATTAATTTAAGTAAGACATGTGTCATACTTGATACCCCATGTTCATTAACTGAGACCCAGTATTTTGATATAATGAATCCCCAAGACAAAGAGTGCAATATTGTGAGCAAGTAGATAACAATTTTTAAAAAAAGATGTCTTAACAGTTTTATTAAATATAATAATTACTGTGCCGATAACATGAAAAGACCCTTCTAAACTAGTATACAAATATATTTTTATAATTTTTTCCGATTTGAGCTAGCTTCTGCACATCTGGTCTTCTCAAATTTAAGCACAGTGGTCACATGCTTTTACACTGGCAGAGCAAATTTTTTGGATCCTCAATCCTTAAGGGAGGAAAGGTTGAGGCCAAAACTCCTCTGCATGACTCTGGTTTTGTCAGTTTGATTAACCATTTGTTTTTAATAATTACAGTTCAGATGGTTTAAATATGAAATACATGTAATCAGTTGCATAATCAATGTTTACTAATATTTTCTTTTAAAAAAATCACAATAAAAAAAATATGTTACCACTTGAAATTGACAATGAACTCAATGCATCCATCTTGAAGCGTTCACTAGGTTGGGCTAGTTTTGACCATTTAAAGACATTGAAATCATTAATAACTCATGCGTTAGTGTTCATTTAATCTAACAGCACTAAACAAATATAAATGAAAGTGTGTTTAAAAACAAACAAAATATTTACTATTGGGGATACAAAAGCTTATGATAATAATTATACAGCATTACAATATGTAAAAGTATACAATTGAGAAAAGATGTGACAATAAAACATATATGCAGACACTGATGATTTTAAAAATAAAGAGAATTTAAACCCAAAATTTTTTAAAATTATATTCATGGAAAATGCGTTTCAGTTCAGTTTTTCAAATAAACTAAAGATCTTAATTATTTATTTTAGTTTCCTGAATTCAGCTATTACAAATATGATATATGAAACAATAAATTAATTCATTATCTAAAATGAAGATATTTTCACATACATAAACAGAAAACAATAATAAGCTACTACATAGGCAACAACACTTATGGGAGACAATATTACTATGATCCGAAGTATGAAATAGTCTTTAATCTTTGTACTACTTTGTGTAATCAGTGAGTAATACGCCTGTTTTATATTTGAAGATCAAATTGGTTGACAAATGGTGGGGAGAAGAATACTTGCTTCATAATAAAAATAACTTATAAAACAAGATAAGTAATTGTATAAGTATTGTCATTATTATTATTATTAATTTACTATTTTAGGTATTTGTTGGGGATGAATTTTGACATTTAAAATTAAAGCATTATCAACAGATTTGGATCAAGATAACCACCTTTTTTTATTTGACAATGAAGAAACTATACATATAACATTGATTATAGAAGAAATCAAGCAGCTTACATGAGTTTTGTCTTCTCTTCATAGCGTTGGGACTCCTTGATAAGGGTGCTCCTTTATCACTCTTATCTGAAGGCCTGCGATTGATCTCACTGTGAGAGCTTTCATCAGAACCTACAGGTGGTTAATATTAAAAAGCATTGTAAAAATGTTATTATTTACCATTTATGTTGATATCGACGTGTTAGGCCATGATATATTAATCCCAATTATGTGACCTAAACTTCTAAAAAAATGTAAGTACTACAGCAAAAATTATTAGTATTATTATTCTGAGAATGTCTTAATATTATAATAATTTAACTCTTAAATTTACTTTCACACAGTTTACACTTCTGATGATGAGCCATGTTTTTTAAAATTTCATTAATTTTTTTAAACATTTTGACTAAAGGGGGGTTGGTATATTTGAAGCTTTTCAAATATTTTTTTTGCTACAAACCTGCATTTTCTTTTTTTTCTGTTAAAGAAAGTGAGGCCATCTTTGAAACTGTTGTCCTCATTTTCTTTCTCACTTTGGTTGTAAAGCTGTCTGGCTGTGAAACTAAAATTAAAATTGAAAGTTTTACTATGTATAACTTATTCATATAATGAGATTAAAATAAATGTTTCTTTTAAATTCAATTTTAAATTTGCAAAGATATGTTAACTTTAAAAAAAGTACTTTATCTTTCAAAAGTAGGCTACTTTACAATATAAGTGAATGTGCCAGTGTCCTATTTCCTAATTAGCCATGTTATAATTAAATTCAATATAATTTTTTTAGATCAATAAGTATACACTAACCACTGTTTAAATGGAACTCCCTTGAGCCAACTCGAGAAGTTCCAGAAGGCACAGGGGAAACATTGTTAGATCCTAATTAAATAATGTAACAGAGTTATTGTTTATTAAATTATAAAATTAGGCAACATACAAATCATTTTAAAATAATTCTTTAATAAGTCTTAAAATATCTTAAAAATAATTGGAATGCAATAGTAATGTTTGCTACATATTCAAGATTAAAAGTTAATTCTCTATGCATACATTTACATCATTTTACTCAATGTACCAAAATGTTAAAAATTTAGGTGAGTTTTAAGGAAATTTCAACAACAAAGAAATCACAGAGTAAAAGAAAAGTATTTTCCTTGTTACCATTTTAATGATTATAAAAGCATTTTTAGGATATTTCTCACCAACAGAAGAAGGCGAGTGTTGATGCTGTCTGTGTGAAGGCACTTCTGGGGAAACTGCAGGACTATACAAGGCTGAGTCTTTAAAAGAACCACTAGTTAAGCTGGCTGAGAGACTGGCTGAGTGGCTACTTCTACGGTGAGGAAGTGGTGCACTGTTTTCATCATGCTCTTCTAAACTAAACCACTGGGCCTTAGAATTATTAACATTTTACAAGAGATTAATTAATGCACATTGAACATGGGCCTATCATATTTAAGGATTTAATTTTAGACAAACAAACTTCTTTACATTTCTTATACTGCTAAATATTTTCTAAAATCTGCCATTGAGAGACCCAGTGAACTCTCACCTGATTGTCCAACTGTGCCTGAGCCAGATCTAACAGCACTTCGCCAATAAACAAATCACATCTATCTTCATAACTCCATACAGTCAGCTGAAGAGCCTTACTCGTGAGCTGTGTTCAGTGAGTAGAACATTTAAGTTATGTGTACCAATATAGGCATCATATCTTTGAACATGTAAAGTGAACATTGGCCTTGTTTTAATTATTTAAAAATTATATTTAAAATTCTAATCTGGTCACTAAGTCTTATGATCTTAATTCTGTATCTTCAGTTGTTAAATTAAAATGAGAAACTCTTTATTTAAACAAATTTGCTGGTAATGATGTTAATATAATATGCTATACAAAATATGAGATGTTTATCATTCGTCATCCATATATTACTAAGATTTTTTTTATCATTCTTATCTTTAAAACCACTGCAAAATTAGGCTTGATTTAATATCCATTTATTAAACATTTTTTACTTCAAATTTTGTTGGACGTTTTTTCAGCATAATAATGCCATGAATACTTAGGCCTATTTCCTGAAATACACTCAGTTTTACCTCCACAGCAGTGATAGTCTCCAAACACAGCTCTCCACTCAAGAATGGAGCATGGTATTCTAATATATTCCTAATGTATTGAACTTTGTCTCTGCTCTGAATAAACATTTCAAAATGTTCTGTGTCCTGATATTTACCTCTGATAATGTTATGCCATCAAATAGAAATGTCTGTTCCCACTCAGGATGACAGTTGCAGGTTTGCATCTCAGTTTCTAAATTGTCCCTAAGATTTATGAAGATGACGTTTCTTAAATTATTGTAATTATTGAAACAACTAATTACTGGAAATTTAAAATTATTTAAACTACAAAAGAATTGAATTCATATTAAATTCTTCAAATTAAGTTAATATAATTTTTTTTTACATTAGCTCTCTTTATCTTTAATCTGATAATTAATATGGACAATGAGCCTAAATCATAAATACAGACCTGGTTACCAACACACTTTCGCCGAAGAAACTAAGACTATAGTACTACCACGAGCCTAAAACATCTATGTTTTCTGGAGATTTTTCATTCGTTTGGTTTATTTTTAATTTTAAAAAAAGGTTTGTTTTCAGAAAAATTACCGAATTTTTTGTGTTAACATTGTAAGCCATCGAAAAAAGAATAACAGTGAGTGGCCTTTGCAATTTGGATCTCAATGAACCAACCAGAATATTTTTCTGTTAGAGGTTTGCTTTGCTAATACTTAACTGTGAATGTTCTTGCCTAAGACATTTTCTCATCCGTAAGTAACAAAATGGAGAAACATATCCTGTGTATTTATTTGAGTTAACTTACATAAGCAGTTGAGTGGATTTTCTTATACAACTTGTATTATGATTGCAAACCCCCCCCTTGACCAAACTACTCTTTGGAGTTTGAAACTATGTTTTTGAGAGTTGAAAACTTCTCTGACACTAACCTAGGGGTAAATAGTATGTAAAGATAATGATGATTTTCATTTTTTAAAATTCCACAAAAAATTAATTGCTGAAAAATAGTTTCATTGGTTATCACCTCTTTCCTGGCACCAAACTGATAACAACAAAAGGACTGGGGACACTATTGTCTACATGGTTGGGAGAGGTAATATTCTTGGCTTTGAGGACTGTAACAGCTAAGGACGCTTTGTGTGGCTGGTAGTGGATTCGAATTTGAAGCTCTCCCTTTATTTGTCTGGTTCCTCTTTTGATCTCTACCTGTAACATGCAATTGCATAAATTTGTACCAGTATCCTAAATTAACTAGCATTGATTGAGATTTTAATATTAAATACTTTTTATTTTAATATATTAACCCAAGCTGATCTTATTAAGCTAATAAAAAAGAACTTACAGGAAAAGATAGCCAAAAAATAGTTTTAAAGAAGTTTGTCACACCAAGGAAGTAGTATCATGTGGTGAAGAGAAAACATCATTCAACATAACCAATTATTTGTAGGAAATCTCTAAAGCAATAACAGAATTTATTCTGAAGACATAGTTGTATCATTATAAAGTATAATAATATAAAAAATGGATAATAAAAGATGTTCTCACTGGTTCTAATAACTTACTGGAGTACGGGGTAACATGCGCCTCTTTCCACCCTTCCCTGGTAGCTCTGGACTGTTGCTAGGTGGTCTATCTAATTGAAAACAAATTTAAGATTCTAGTATAAAATATGAGCAGAGTATTCAGAAGAGTGACAGAGCAAAAGAGGTGTAGTGAACTACATTTTGTTCTTTCTAAGTGACCATAAATAAGTTAGAAATGACTTTTGAGCAAGAAAAGAAACCCACAGAAATATAGAGCGACAGTTTTTATAACAGTATGGAGACAAGAGACATGTATGGGATAGGCAACCCCATCTTGTACAGCTGGACCAAGTTGTCAATACATGTAGTTAGAAAGAAATGAGATATGGATCATATAATCTCATATACAACATGACACACACGCATACACATTCATCACAGATGTCTGGGGGAGTCAGATAACACTGTATGATGAGATAAACAGAAAGAAGGGATGAACCAATATTGGGACAATCGATAACACTTTTTAAAAAAAAAACGTTAAGAATGTGGTCTAGTATTGAAGCAGAATTTTTTTTTATTTTTAGAAATTTAATCACTTTTAGTGAATTTAGGAATACATTTGCATAACTATACATTTATTTCTATGGCAATCCCCTTCCACACCTTACTATAATTTAAAGATTCCAGTTTAATTAGTGTGGTGTTATTAGAAATAAATCAGACTGAAATGCATAAGTTAATAAATTATTTGTAAGTGATACGAATTTTGTATTTATTGAATGCAGTTAACAAAATATTTCAGTCCTATGGGGCAAAATAGATTATGAGAAGATGAAGTGTTGGCAGAGATTGATAGATATATGTTGTCACAAAATTGTGTCTAAGTATATTTCATAGAAATTGTTTTATATAGAAACCCTTTATATGACTCTAAATCCAGGAGTAAAGACTTCCTCTAATTCCATCGTCATGTTTAAATAGTAGGACATTAAGATGGAAGAAAAATAAACCATTTAACAGAAAAATAGTGTCATATTTGTATATATATTTGTTTTTGATTATATTTATATATATATATTTTTTTTTTTTAAAGTGATATGAAATGGAAAGGTATTGATTTGAGTGAGTAAGACAGAATGTATTTTAAACATTTTTAAACCTTAGAAGCGAACAAAATATTTTTAATTAGATGTGTTAGCCATAAAATGTAACAGAATATCCTCAAGTAACATAAGAGATCTAATATCATGTGGAGATAATATATTTTTTGTAAGAGTTAAATTGGAAACCTGAAAAAATAAAAAATATCTCTCTTCTAAAAGAAAAACAAGATTCTTAGTTAAAATTTTTTTTTTTTTTTAAATAACAAATGTATTTTGTCTTATTTCAGGGGACATAAAACTTTGTGAAGATGAGTTTGTCGAGAAACCAAATTATTTGAAAAAAAATGTTGACAAAGGTCTATAAGGTCTATTCTTTGAATGTAATCCCCCATATATAGGATTGGATGAGGTCTAGAAAAAAATGTGGTGATATATTTGTATAATCATTTTCATCCAGATCCAGCAGCCAACTTGGCATGTGCCTTTAGGCCAGAGGCTATGGTGACATTTTACACATTGTCCACATCTGTTCTTTGTCTGAATATAGAGTATTACTGTAGTCTGGAGCTTTTGGTATATATTTCTAAAAAAAATTATTTATGTTTATGATTGGAAGAGTTATTGTAAGGTTGGGTTCCAGGTGCTTCTGAGATGGATATAAAATGTGGGTTCATGATTTTATCAGGTATATTGAGGGTAATGTTCAAGACTGGAGTGTGTCAACCTAACCACATGTTTCAGAATTGGATGGGGTCTAAATGATGGTGTGGTACAAAGGTTGAGGAAATTCTAGACACGTTTATGAGGTTCATAAAGGACCAAATTGTTTTGGTAGTATAAGACAGGGAGGGACTGATTTTCATAAGGGATGGTTGCTGACATCTTACCTTGAGATATTACAATGGGCTCATCACATATGGCTTGACGATCTAATCTGAAAAGTATAATCAGAAAGGCTGATCCTATAACATTATTTGGATAAGCTTTATTATATAATTTTTTTACCTTGCAAATACATTTTATGCTATTCAAAAATGAAACACTGGACAAATCTGTTTTCTATTTAGATTTTTTAGACTGTTATAAAATACACTTATTGTAAAGTTAAAATACGTTTCTTGTTGAAACATTGAAAGCAAAATGATACTGGGGAGGGTGCAAGATATGCAATGTTTTGAAGAATGGAAGAATATTTATTGTGTATAAAGAGAGCTTATTTTTTAATGACAGAGATTTAGAAACTTGAGCTAGTGGATTAATTTAACATTATATCGAAAATGTTGTTTTGTAATTCTTGGCAAATCCATCATCGAGTTTAAAAATATTTCTAGAAAGATAAGCTCTTTAGAAGCCATGCCAGAAACGCCCTGCTAAATATTTTTTAATGATTTATTGTCAAGAGATTTAAGTAATTATTGATACATTTTGTAAACATTTTAATAAATGTGTCATGCTCTGGTAAAGCAGATATTTTTAAAGCAGAAAGTGTTTGATAATTAATGCTAAAATTATAAATTTAAAAGTAACTTTTTTAAAAAGTTCATTTTTATAATAACCAATATGCAGTAGCAGTCAATAAATAATAATTATGTTTTAACTCTTTAGTTTATATATAAAACATGTGTTTCCTAAGCCATGGTAGTCATCACCTGACACCTATTCTGGGTTACATGGCTGATACCAAAGATACTTTTTTTCTAACTTTATTTAGACCTACCTTACAGGGAATGGGTTAACAATGAGAATGACCTGTGGGTATATGTAGGACATGACTGATGTAACATGGTCAAAGCTTTGACCTCTGAGAGCCTCACCATTCCATTCTAGGACTTCATGTCCTGATAAGAGAGTTTAAATTGAGATGTTATTTTTGTATGTTTTTAATCTTTGAAAGCTAATATGTAACATCTATACTTATAGACATATTTATTTAAAAAGACAAACTAGAAGAGCCATTAACCTCTAATAAAATTGTTGTAAGTTAAACGAAACAGTCCATCAATAAAATAAAATGTACCACATGCTTTTCCATTTGTATGCTTCAAGAATAGTGAAAGACTTAGTTTTTTAGATATAAACTTTTATTGCCCAGTTTGTTTTTCATAATTTCATATGAATTTTTCTGTATAGTTCTGCACTTTTAACAATACTGGACATATTATTTTTATTAATAATGTAATATTTATTTAGACACCTATTATTTTTTACCCATAGAAGCTAAGTCTTGAAGATTAAAATTAAGTCCGATTGGCAAATGTGGTACGTCCAAAAACATTTTTAAGCAAAATAGCTTGCCAGAGGGTTGTTCTACTTTTTTTACTACGTGTCTTTAATCTCTCAACTGGACTCAAGTATAAGTAAGATCATTAGGGCTAATTAAAACAGGCCAGATAATATAACTTTAAAAACAAAATAGCATACTTCCAATCTGCATAAATTCTTTCCTTTTAAGTCATGGTATTGTCATCCAATCCATATTTCAATAACCAAATAATGGTAGCAATCATTGATATGAAAGCAAAACAACCTCACTTGCTCTTTTCTCCCCAAAAATTACTGTTTTTAACTAAGCTGTCAATTAAGCGGCCATACCCTATAGACCAACATGAAATCAGATCCACTCACCCACACTGATTTTAGTTCTAGCTTCTGGTGCAACCCACGTCACCAGAGCCCTGCTAACTTTTAGAGCATCTTGAAGACCACCTATCACTTTCACACCATATGGAAGTTCTAGAGAGAAAACATAGAAAACTGTATAATTATTTTGTTATCAATATGTCTTTTCTCATAATTGAAGGTTAAAATAAACATGTTAATAAATTCCAAAACATTAAATTGTACCAATGGAAAAAATTCTGTAATGATATATGTGTTTGTTTAGTGAGAAATATTTTTTTAAATCTTGCCAGGAACTCATAACCAGGAGTTTTTGATAGCTCCTCCCTCTAAGAAAAATAAGAGTAAAGAATATCTGCATTATAAGATTTCATTTCTATACTTTTAAACCCCTTTCTTATACAATTTTTGGCCATCCCAAGTGTCACTTTAAGCCACTGATGACTTATGCATTCAAAAAATACTTGGCACAATTAAACATCATTATATACTTACTTATTTGAAAATGTACATGTTAAGTTATGTCTTTCCCACCTTTCAAAACTGTGAATTAAAATAGTAACAATCCTTAAAGCCTGAATTTTAATTAAAAATGAAATCAACCAAACTACAATGGTCCACTTGCCTTTTGACTGAGTGCACTGCAATGTTATGAGGTAGCCATCTTTAAACCCGGCCTGGCACCATTTCTGTAAAGACTTTTCCCCAAGAGCTTTAGGTGACAAAACCTCTTTTCCTTTTGTTCCCACAGCCTAAAAAGGTGAGATTTTGAAGAAAATATATTGATATTCATCTTTTGCCATATGGCTGTATTGCTTTCAAAGGAGAGAGGGAGATATTTAAATAATACATAGACTTAACTATGGACACCAAAATTATCTCTCATTTGGTAGGTAAAATGTGCATGGAAAAGTAATTTCCCTTGTAAGTAACCTCAATTAAGAGCAAAACACATTATTTTTTAAACATGCCATTGGATTAAAAAAAAATTTTTGCTGCTGACACCCTGATATACAACTAAACTTCCTCTAGAAATAGAAAGTTTTAAGTGGTATTAATGATTGATTCAATGTTTGGAGAAGGGGATCCATGAGTTTTTGCCTGTGTTGGATTCTGAAAAAATCACTCTTAAAGTCAAACAATATATTTGTACAAAAGACAACTAAATCCAGTAATGTAATGTTTATTTTAAAAAGTGACATGTTGAAGTTTTGCAGTATGATATATATTTGTAACTGCAATGAAAAGCCCTGTCTGTCCTTAATATAAAAGACAGAGTGGTCACTCTTTGTAGGAATCAGAAATTTCTTTGGGCATGCTGGAAATCTGTAATATTTTAATTTATATAATGGACATGCTTCATTTTATTTGAAATTTATATTTTAAATAAAAAATTTAAATAATGAATAATGAAAATACAACAATTTTGGTAAAGTAATTTAATTTTTAATATTAAGAGACATTTTCACATTTTTAAAATACAAATTTATGAGAAAAAAAAGATTAAAAAAGCTTATTACAAATATGCTTTTCCTTATCTTAATCTTGCTAAGGCTTCAGGGTTTAAAGAGTATAATTTTAATACCTTGTAATCTTGTCCATAAGGGGACTGCACTGATTCCCTTGACCTTGCACTTGGAGGATCAGATGATCCAAGATGGCTCCGCCTCCCATCCCCAATCTTACTCTCACTGGCTGACGTAATACTGACGCAGCTGCTGTTCAAGCTCATGGCATCCTGACGCATCATTCTGATTGGGTAAACAAAACTTATTATTTACCCTTAATAGTGTGCCACAATTTGTGACATAGGAACAGCGACAACATTTGTGGTCATTGAAAAAGTCAGTAGACAGTAGTTTTTATCTGCAGATATGAAGGCATCAGTGGCGAAATAAGAGTTTTCAAAATTTTCTTTTTCAAAGAAGGTGGCTCAACTAAGTTAAATGGGGGCGTGATGCGATGACTTACTTGAGAGAAGATGGGGATGTCAGGGGAGACAAACCATTGAAACCGTCCGACATGCTGCTGTCTCTGAAGGAGGAGAACACACTGCTGATTGATGTTGACGAGCCATCTGAGTAATCCCTCTTGTTCTCACTGATAGGGGAAGGTTTCCTGGCACCTTAGTTGTTAAGATAATTTTTTTTTTTTTAAGTAGAGCTTTATTTGAGCAATTATGAGACATACAAAAAGGTATTAATAACTGCTATCCTATTACATTATGATTTAATTTCACCACATTTTTATCGGTAAAAAAAAATTATAAAGAGATTCAAGGATAATTTTTTTATTTATTATGTAAGCTTATTTATTTCACACATACAGGCACACACTTAAACTACAGAACAGCCTGGATACACTTATACATTTTCTGTTTCCCTCACAAGAATTAAGAGAATTGCTGTGCCCCCATAGGGATCGTGTGACACTGTCACGTCTCTGTCCACTCCCCCTAACGGGTGTGGCCTCCTCTTCGGCATTCAAAGATCTTGGCCTTTCAGAGAGGGATTCTGTACTTCGCTGATCTTGACCTGATTATGAAACACAATCTTTTTTTGAAAAAAATCTATCAACTTTACCCCCCCCCCATGGTATCATTGTTTAAGTTTAAGAAATGAGATACTATCATACTCATTGCTATTCTCATAAGAACTGGGATAATATCATACACATAGCTATTCTCATAGGAACTGAGATACTATCATACTCATTGCCATCTCATAGAAACTGAGATAATATCATACTCATAACTATTCTCATAGGAACTGAGATAATATCATACTCATAGCTATTCTCATAGGAACTGAGATAATATCATACTCATAGCTATTCTCATAGGAACTGAGATAATATCATACTCATAGCTATTCTCATAGGAACTAAGATAATATCATACTCATTGCTATTCTCATAAGAACTGAGATAATATCATACTCCTAGCTATTCTCATAGGAACTGAGATAATATCATACTCCTAGCTATTCTCATAAGAACTGAGATAATATCATACTCCTAGCTATTCTTATAAGAACTGAGATAATATCATACTCATAGCTATTCTCATTGCCATGGCAAGGGATTTGAACGCTGTCACCTCAACGGTAAATGTGAATGCAAATGAAGTCATGCACACCTCCCCACCCCCCTCCCCCCACAAAAAAACAAACCCTAACAAGCGCGGCCGTTCGGCGCAAAATTCGCTAACCACGGCGCTGGTTCTTTTGGTTTTTAATCAAAACTAAAAATGTACAGCTTTTCTAAGGCCCCTTTATGGCATCGAGGCTTACAAATATTAGGGTCACTTTGGTGCCAATTTTGTTTTCAAAAGTGGATCATAATTTCACCTGCATAAGCTTTAGTAGAATATAAAAGATGTGGAGATAAAAAGATGTTACAAAAAAAAAAATCCTCCTCCCCACGAAGGGAGGTTTAGACTGTATATGCAGGGCCGTGCGAAGGGGGAGGGGCAGGGGTGGCGAAGGAGGCACTCGCCCTGGGCGCAAACGTCGGGGGGGGGGAGCAAAATTGTCTTTAGATTGGACATGTATAGAGAATTAAACGATAAAATGACAAGGGGCGCCAAAATAGTATTTTAAAAAAAAATTGCGACTAAATCCAACCTTGCATTAAACATACTGAATGGCGAACTATGTAAATCAGGTTCTTCACAGCTTAGCCACAGTTTTGAGAACCTCTGCTCTACCTCACCCACATGATTTTATTAACGCTTCATTTTACTTTCTCTCTCTCTCATGCTCTCTCTCTCGTGCTCTCTCTCTCTCTCTCTCTCTCTCTCATGCTCTCTCTCTCTCGTGCTCTCTCTCTCTCTCGTGCTCTCTCTCTCTCTCTCTCGAGCGCTCTCTCTCTTGCTCTCTTTCCCTCTCTCTTGCTCTTTCTCTCTCTCTCTCTCTCTCTCTCTATCGCTGCCTCTCACTCTCTCTCTCGCTCTCTCTATTGCTCTCTCTCTCTCTCCATATATATATCTCTCTCCCTCCCCCCCACTCTTTCTTATGATTTACATTTTCTTACCTGCCCTCATTCGCCTTCTCTGTTTCTTCTCCTGTCTCCTCCTCCGCGACATCCGCCTCTCGAGTATCAGACTATCCAAACTATCCTTGTCGTCGTCGTCGTCGTCTTCGTCGTGAACATCATCCTCACCCCTGTCGGCCTTCCCGCCGCCCGAGTCCGGAGGGAGGGACCGGCGACGGTTGTACTTTCTACCGACTGAAGCACTTCCGGAGCTCGGGTAGCCTGTCATCCTACGCACCAGCTCCGAGTCGGTTCGGTTCCCAGATGGGCAGGCCTCGCCGTCGTCAACGTTGGTGAAATTCCCATGACACTGTGGACATAAAAATCTCACTTTATAACTCAAATAGTCATTTTTGAAATGGCAGTGGCAATTATTATTATTATTTTTTTTTTAATTGGGTGATGTGACATCTGGATTCTATCTTTTTTTTATTTGGCTCGTTTGGAGCCCACGTGACCTAATCCCCCCCCCCCCCCCCCCCGCGGCTGATTTAAATCTATTCGGAATACACCACTGACGATTTGGAATTCACTTAAATAGATGTTCATAATTATTAAATCCTTTTTTAAACTTCGCTATTGTTCGTGTGTTTCCGTGTTTAAGGCAAAAAAATTGTTCGAACGGCTAAATGACTCACTTTCCCGTCATCCTATCGAACTGAAACTTGGAACATAGACTCGTTACTGATGACAACACACTCATTCAAATTCTCAGCCCCACCCCAAACCACCAAAATTCAGTGTGTTTTTTTTTTTTTTTCTTTCTGTTTTTCAATGGAAAGATGAATGAAATATAATTTTTTGCAAAAATGTATGTTTTGGATTGGAGATTAATGGTCAGCTGTATTTTGCTTGGTATTTTGGACGTACAAAATTAAGTGTGTTTTTTTTTTTTTTTCTTTCTGTTTTTCAATGGAAAGATGAATGAAATATAATTTATTGCAAAAATGTATGTTTTGGATTGGAGATTAATGTGCAGCTGTTATTAGCTTGGTATTTTGGACGTATTCGGGAATGCAGCAAAAATAAAATGTATTTTTGAAGGGGAAAATGAAGGAAATATGATACGTGTTTTCGCCAGACTTTTCACCATTTACATAACCGTTTCTTAATAAATGATAAATCACGTACAATTGCATAAATGCAAAAAAAAAAATTTAAGGAATTTTACGAAAAACATATTTATTTATTTATTTTGGGGTGGGGGTGTTTAATTTTTAAAATATATCAACGGTCTTGGGTATAAGCTCATTGTTAACAGCTAATACTTGAGAGGGTCTAAAACCAGGGTATTTTGGGCTGCGTTGACCGACTGGGCAATGATACACCAAACATATACACTGCCAAAACGTGTAATTTAGTCATGTGGCTTTTTTTTTCTTCTGAGGATGGTCAAATCACATTTCATCTCTCATCATTAGAAATCCCACTGCTTGAAAAGCCTACATGCGTAAAACTGTTAATTTGTGTTTTTGAAATTATTATTTTAATTTATAATATGATTAACATCTGTTCTCGATATCTAATCTTTCAGGAGTAGAGAAAGTGGTCCTTAGAAGGATTTTAATGTGACCCTTAAGGACAGTTTAAAATGTCGAAAATGAAAGTGATTAATAAAAACATAATATATTCTAATATGCCGGATTACGATCCTCTGCCTAAGTTGCGAATACAAGATTTCACTGTGAGGTCATAATGGGGTCATCTGCCGTACAGCTGTTGAAGACTGGCGGATAACTCACTTTAAATTAATATTATATCTATTTTAAACTGCAGAAGTGAGGAAGGCTCTTTTCTATCGCGGCTTTTTCTCAATTGGGGTAACCCAATTCTTTGAGATAGCTCATTAAAATTCACTAAGCCATAAACATGCGCATCGTCCGTCCAATTGATAACAATGCCGAGCAACAAAACAAGGCGAATATGGTTAAGAAACGTATCTTGTTGTACATAGTGACAGACCCATTAAAAAATAAAACATTATTTTTTTTAACGACTCAAAATCTTTTTTTTGTTAATATTCTTTTGTCTTTCATTTTACATGGTTACACCAGCTGGTCTTTAAATTTAAGGTCGGAATGACCAGGGCCGTGGGAAAATAACGCCCCCCTGTATATATCCCCCCCTCCCCCCGTGTTTCTTTCAGAAATTTCCCCGCGGAGGGGCACTTCAGATTTTCGGAGGGGGGGGCGGGCACTTCAAAATTTTTAGGGGGGTGGGGGGCAGTGCCAGTCAATCCATTTGATTTATTTGTTGGCTTTCCCCGGGGGGGGGGGGCACTCCCCCCCCCCCCCGGAGATATAGCTGAAAGAAACCCTTCACCCACCCCTCATGGTCACATGCCAATGTGGATCTGTCAATATGAATATTTGGCACATGCTTAAGTGTTGACTAATTGTAAAAACCAAAACAAATAGAATCTTTCTGGCTCCAAAAAAACCGCTCACGTTGAATCCCATGGAGCCTCCATGGCGGTCTTCATGAGGGTTTGATTGATTGGATATTTATATAGCGCTGGTATCCATGCTACTTTAGCATGCTCACTGAGCTCTGGTTTACTTAAATCTATTTAAACTGAAAAGATTTTATATGTTTCTTAAATGATCTTTTATCATTTTCAATTCCCCTCAAAGATTGAGGCAAACTGCTCCATAATTTTGGTGCTATTGCTTCAAAAGAGCGCACTCCGTAAGACTTTTT